CGATGCCTAAAAAGGAAGATAGCAGAAGTTTTGAATGAAATGCCTACCAGCGATACGCCTTATCCAAGTGTTACCTAAATAAAGATTTGTAGCTTCTGTGATTACAAAATGCGTTGATTAACGAGGTTCCAATATAACCACTGTACAACATTCATGTGTATGGATCACCGTGGCCTGATGTGTCTGGAATGTTTAGAATATATTTTTGTTTTATTCCATAAGTTTGAAATAGGTCAATAAAGAAGTTAAACAATATAATTATTTATTTCTTTCTTTCATTAACAAAATTATAAACAACCATACCTGAATATGTTTGTTTGTGAGATTAATGTTTATTAATAGTGTTACTCCTATATATGTTTATGAATCTAGGATAAAACCCCATAGAGCATGTATGGGATAATCTTGAAAGACAAATTAAAAACAGCTTAAAAGCATTACTGGAAGAATAAAACGCAATCTCTCAAGATTTTATTGATTACTTGATTAGTAGGTATGCTAAGAAGACTGGAAAGCAGTTTAAATACTACTGACTATAGCCTACGTTATAGCCTAACCTAATTATTTATAAAAAAAATGCATAAAATATTAAGTTCAATAAAGTCTCTTTCCTGCGAAATTTTTCTATTTACTTGATTTGGTTATTTTTTTCATTTCATCGTTTGTTCTTTCGACGTTTGCAATACTAAAATTAACGTTTGCAATACTAAAATGCAATAAAAAAAATAATTACTTAAACTAAAATTAAAATAATTAAACTTTTTTGCGTTCGTCTAAATTTGTCCATGAGTGTATATTATAATTTGTAATATAGTTTAATAGTAAATTAATAGTTGCAAAATAATAAGGTCTCGAGTACCTTTAACAGGTGGGCGTGAATCAAAGAGATTTAAAAAATATATATACTATAGAGCGGCCATTGGGAACATTTATATACAAAAACTTTTGAACTAGTGCGCGTGTGGCACCCTCTAGCCAAAAATAGCAAAACAACGCTAAGCATTTATTAAGACTACATTTTAGCTATTCTTCAGTAGGTAACGCTAATAAATATAACGTCGTTTTAGGAATGCTACCGTTTCGATATCAAAGCATCGATAATGTTGTTGAAGGTTAATAAGTTTGAAATGCTTTTCGATATAATAATAGGGAATTTACATGATTGTTTTATTGTATAAATCTATTTATCATGACTTCCATCACACGAAAAAAATCATATTAACTTTTTACGCCCCGTTAGTGTCATGAAATAAAATATTTAATTTCCAATAACTAAGAATCAATTCAAACAGCAGTCACTTTGGTTGCCACCTTGTTGGCATCTTGGATGATGTCACGTGGTCTATTAGCTGCTATAATAATAGCATATGATTTATCGGTCGGCGTTAAAGACACATCGAGAAACGCCAAATCCAATAAGAGAGCGCATCTATATTTTTAAATTAGTTTCTTTTACAAAAATACCCTTCAAATCTAAAATATTTTAGGAAAACACTGAACTTAAAAGCCGTTTCACGATTTTTCACGTTTCATCGGCTGCAGTACTTAAAGATACTACCCACGTCAATAAAAATTGTTATTTTAAGTTTTTATCTTATTTTCTAACTCAGGTTTTTATTTTACAACTTCTTGCATCTAATATCTTTAACAGTACAAATTCTTTTTAATGTAACAAACCTATAGCCATCTCCTATCACTGTAAGCCAGGATCTGTAAAAGCTTTGTCCTTGAAAAACAACAGACAATGAAGCCCGGTTTAAAACCACCAGACTACGAAGCCTTGTATGTAAAAGAGAAGACTTGCTGTATTGCTAAACATCAACATAGCAAGTATTCTCAGCATGCTCATAAGCAACACAGAAAATTTCATCAGCATGCCTCAAAAAAATTTCCCACCCTTGCTCCACATAAAGTAGGCTACTTAGCATAGTTGGTATATACTATTCATTTTGTTGGTACGGGTACAGTATCGTTGACTGTTTTACCTCCTTAAATATTGTAAAGGATTAAATCGGCATCCTGTATATTTTTTTATCGATAACCCCAATCGATAAACGTCGTCAATCACTAACTTTAACATTGGTAACTAAGTAGTGACGTTTACTGGATAACAGGGGGCGCTTATTACAATAAAAATAAATGTTGTAGAACAATCTACTAGAAATAATAAAATTTAAAGATTTTTCGGTAAATATATGTTATATTTACGATAATAAACCGAAATCACGTTCATTGTTTGTTCCATATCGTGACTTACAATATCTTAATGCACAACCGGGCATATTTTCTTCAAAAATATTTTTTTAAATATATGAAACTAATGCGTCTTGACTTTTTGACGATGTCACTGAGACTAAATGACAAAAATCAGAGATATATCCTATAGGACATAAGTTACAGACGACAATTTTGCTGCTGATGTCTGGTCTATTACTACTACTACTTAAATGTCTTTGGCGTGAATGAAAAATATGATAAGAGAGTGATGGCGGTTATGGAGTAAATGAAATTGACGAATTTATTTTCGTTTAAAAACTTCCGCGCGCGCCCCTAGGCATCTGCCTAGTTTGCCTTAGAGATAATCCGCCACTGTAATCAAGTTATCAATAATCAAGAATCCAGATTCCAGAATGATAATAACCCCTGGGAATGAGGTGATTGCTACTAAGCTATTTCTAACTTGTTTTGTGTTATTAATTGTGTAATATACATGGTTATAAGCTGTTTTTTTTTTAAGTTCCGCTGGGCTTATTGCTGGTTCTTCCCAGAACAGAGGTTTTTTCAATAGTGTAGTAGTAGAGTGGTAATTCAACAAGAGTGATTTTCAATAAGTGTTATTTATAATCTATATTGAATAAGAAAGTTTCTGTTTCAACAAAATCTTAATAAATTGCGTTTCATTCTTCCCGTAATGCATTTTTAAGATCTCTCAAATTATCAGAGACAGGATTTATTTTCTTAATTTGTCTTCGAAACTCATCACATACATGCTTTGGCCACCCCATAGCATTGATTTAGAACGTCTCGAAGGTATTCGGCAACTATGGCTGCAATATAGGGCCGTGCATTATCATGTATAAAACAAATCTAGCTCCTATAAAAGGGGCAAATAACACGTCTATTTCTTTCAACACCTCAGTTACATATCGTGTCACTGTTAGTGACCCATTCTCAATGACGTGGAGTTCCGTACGTGGCCCCATACAAATACCTCCCATCACTGACCCTCCACCATATGCCTCTTTTCCAATGATGTCGCACTGAGCGTACCTTTCTCCCGGACGTTTCCACACTTTAATTTTTCCATCATCTGACTTCACGCAAAATCTGGTCTCAACTGTGAATAGAACTTGACACCAAGTTAAATACTCGATGGTATGTGGCAAGAAAGGGGCCTCTGCCAGGCAAATGTAAATTTATTCCGATCGATTTCAGTCCTTTTCTCACAATTTTATTTTTGCTCAATGTAACCCCTCGAACTTTCTTGGAGCTTCGTTCGTAATAAATTCCACTCAGGGAACAGCTAGTCAATAAATATTATCGATGACGCTTCGAATGATGTAAACATTTCTATGAACCACTTTTCATTCACGTCTCATATGGGATTTGAAACCTAACAGAGCGTCTGACACAAATCCTCTTTCTGTTCCCGCATGGCAAATGGTGAGGCACCCACCTTTGCCTATTGGCACTGCGGAAGTGGAGGCAGCAATCGTCAGTCCAAGCTTGTGACATAGTATGATTCGCATTGAGCCAAGTTTCATGTGTGAAAACAACATTCGACCAGTCTTATATTTTCTTTGCTTGTCTTAAAAATTTGCATCGATACAGAGGATACCATGGCGTTTCATTAATATTTTTCTTTTGTCACATTTTTATGTAGGAATGGAGTGTAACCAAAGTGTGATTTATGATTGGCTATGGTTGAGTAATGTAAGATTGATTATGGTTGAGTGTCTGTGGTAAAAAAAGAATGGGTTGACTGGTAGAGAATGCCTCAAGGCATTAAGTCCGGTCTTTGTATTGTTTTGTTTTAAGGAATGCAATAAAGAATAAATAAATAAATAAAATAAATATTTTCTCTCTTTGGTAGACGGTGAACAACGAATGACGGATAATTATGTCGTTATAAAGTTGCTTTTAATCCAAATTTATTAAGTTGTAACGTGTGCAAGTTTAAAATAAAAAAGTTTCCCTGCATAATTACCATGTTCTCAATCTGTTTTAACAACTTTAAGTGATATGGTAAATAATACTGTAGCCCATAGACACGTACATCTACTTTCGATTAAGAATCAAAATGCAGATGCATTGTCACCTCTGAGGTCAGTAAAAATAATCTTATCTATGTATTGTATTTTTTTTGTTGAAAAACATAGGTGGTGTTAGGCAAAATTAATTCGCAATAATATAGTGTTGTTTATAACAATAATCGTATTAGGTCTTGAGGTTTAAGATCAATATTGAGTTCGATAGATCTCAAGGTCTTGACACAAATGACAAATATTACGAAAAATAATTTTAAAATTTTTACTATTGTGTAAGCAAAATAAAATTTACTCATGTGCAATGTAATATATATGTAAAAGACGAATATTTTGTAAAATGCCTCCAAGACATGGGAAAAGATCCCACTGAAACTTGACTTTTTTATCCGCTCAAAGGTTCAATGTTCCACGTATACCTACGGTTTTTACACATCTGGCGAACTTGCTACTAGTTAGCAGTAAATCGTTGCGAGAAAAAGAAGCTTCTAAAAATTTATGTGAGCACCTCTGAAATATACTCTATTTAATAAAAAAGAGAATCATAAATCGGTTCACAATTGACGAAGATATCACGTAAAATACATACAAAAAAGACATGCACGCAAATTGAGGACCTTCTTTTTTGAAGTCGTTTAACATTAAGTATTGAGTGGTTAGATAAAGGAAACAAAAACAAGGTTAAAGTTACTAATAGTTAAAAAAGTTAATACTTTTTTAGTTTCAGTTACTTACGTTGTGGTGGCCGCGGTGGTGGGTTTCTGGGCGCGGAGAGCGAAGATGGCGGCGGAGGTGGGACCGCGCGCGATGGTGGTGGGGGCGGGGCGCGAGACGCTGCGAGCAAAATTAAACCTTATCACATGTATCTTAAGGTCGATTGCAGTTATCTATATATTTATATATTTGAGTTTATATCTAATATTTGAGATACGTTTTTAAGTAGTTTTAATTGAATGTGAAATTAGAAGTGTAAACACGCTTATCTAGAGCAATATGTGGTGGAAACACCTGCCCAATTCTCAAAGTGAAAGGTCTAACCAAAAATTTCAAAAATAAAATTTATAATTGTAAGAAATATACATTGCTAAGTCGAAACGGTAAAATTATTATTTTTTATTATCTATTTTAAATAAGGCTTACGAGCTTACGACTGACGTGAAAACTACCCAAGTTTGTTCGAATAAATGTCGATCCATGTTCATCAACACAATATCGGGACCGTATTCCATAAGGGACTCAAAAATATATCGATATATGAACTTGCTCGCACACGTCAGTGACAGCACAGAGCTTCAGTGTCCTGCACCGGCTTAGCACGACCCTGCTGTTTCACTGATGAATGTGGATTGACAGTAAGTTTCCTTTAAGCTCGTTGTCAGATGGCATGCAAAACAATAGAGGTACTCACGCGGTGCAGGGGGATGCAAGTGCGCAGGCGTCCGTGAGGGCACCGGGGGCGCGGGGGGTGCGGGAGGCGCGGGGGGCGCGGGCGGGGCGGGGGGCGCAGGCGGCGCGGCCGGCGCACCGGACCCGGACGCGTCTGCAGGCACACAACACTTATTGTCTTTCACATATTCGAGTGACAACAGACAACTAACAGTCCACCTGATTGTGTCTTGTTGTCAAGTTACCATACATTCGCACCAAACAAATTGCTTCTAATAACAAGTGAAAAAACTTACTTTTGTCTGGCCTTGGCGTCTCGTGCAAGTCGTCCTTGACGGCGTCGAGCCCCCCATGAGTGTTGATAAAGTTGTAGATGAACTGCCGCGTATCTCGGTCCTGTAGTTGCTTCTCCGAGATGCCCGCCTTCGACAAGAACGATCGCATCTCCTTCTCTGGCAGGTTGTCGACGTCGAAACCTTCGAAAAAAGGTGAAATTGTGATGAATGTTGTATACAATCTATTGAAGTCTTCCTCCTCATCAAAATCCTACTACTTTCCACCATTAAATTAGTAATAGTAGCTTGGCTCGAAGGACCAACGTTTACATGATATTTATTAAAAGTCAAAGTTTTAATAGTTGCAATCTACGAATAGATTGTGTACTTATCGGTATAAGTAGAAGGATTTTTTTTGGAATTTTAATTATTCAAGGGCACAATCACGAATTAAAATTATAGCAGCATGTGTAAATCTTACTTCAAGTATCAAGTTTCGTATAAACTTGATTATTTAATTTGGCGGGAATTGTACGCAAAATGCCCAAAGCTTTTTTATGATAAGCCGATTTAAATTAAAGTTTTCAGCTTTTAGAGACATATTAATACGATTTTGTATTTTTAATTTAAATTACCTTTGTCAGCATCCCATCCTACATGTGATATGTGTTGGAAGTTCTCAGGGAAACCAATGTCAGCTTTTGTAAGCTTACGTGTCTTCGGTTTTTTGCCTTTCAATGTGTACCCACCTGTAAAGAAAACAAAATAAATACAATTTATTAACTCAAAAAATAACACAAGAAAAAATTTTCAACAGGTTGATTTGATTAAATATTAAAAAGTTTTTTTCCTATGCTAGGATGACCTTTGTTAATGCTCTTCACGTTTACCTATTTTTAAAGTAAATTAACAGTTCAGTTTATTAAATAAAAGCTTTTTGACGCAAAGCTTTCTGCACAGCCTGTCGTATTGTAGTGTCGTTTAAGCATGGATAACATTAATTTAAATTTGCTAATATATAAAAAAATGTGTTAACTTCCGCTTTTTAATATCGAAGTTATCTAAGAAAGCCCTCGTTTCCAAGCTTACATAGGTTATTTTTAAATAACATAGTATATCAACGAAAGCATCTATACTTTGTTTTATTCATACATTTTTTAAACAATAATCTTAACCTAACCTGACGTTCTTGTACACTCCGTCTGTTGTATCATTTTCTCTACTCGTATCTCTATTGTGGCAGTAGGTATAAATATTATTGTGTAGGTCGACGTTGCTTTAATTGAGCATATATTGAAGGTGACTCCTAGATGACATCCCGAATGCAGAGCATATCCATTGTTTCAGGAGACGTAAGTCCCACCTGTCCACTAGGACTTGGACAGCATGAAATAGAAGCATAATGCTTCTAACGAGGCATTTCAGTTGCGGGCTATGCGGTTTGGATGAACACAGGCGGGTGTTAGGCCGGATGTATGACAGAATTGTACGTGCCTTGAGTGACGCGGCTAGCAAAACTAAGAAAAGCTTTATAACAAGCCAAGTAAGAACAGACACCTCTGTGGCTAGAACAAACATGTTCAAGAGGCGCATCGGATTGCCAGGCTTAACTTCAGGATATGGTTGTCGTATAATAGGCCATCATCTGGAAGGATCTGTGATCAAATTAACGAATTCCGCAAAATATTCAAAAGTCGGTTAAAATGGTGTCAACGAAACCAAGAACAATTGAAAATGGACATCCTAGCACAGCATAGGGTGGACAAAAACTTTAAACAGTTTTGGAAGGCTACCAAGAGATGTGATGTTAGGCCTGGCCTCCCGGTGAATGTGGATGGGAATAGCGAGTCGGTACATATTGCCAATATTTTTGCTCAATATTTCAAAGTGCATTTCCCACTGAGGCCCTTAGTATCTGTGAATACTACTAAGGCCGGATGTGAGGGGGACGTGCCACTGATGCGTGTTACTGCAAAGCAGATTAGAGAGGCGCTAAGAAGAATGACCGGTGGCAAGTCCCCCGGTCATGACGGTATTAGTGTAGAACATCTGAGGCATGCGGGGCCTCATCTGCCGAGAGTGCTAGCCCTGTTCTTCTCAATGTGCATAAATCACTCTTATTTACCACGTGACTTTATAAAGACCATCGTAGTGCCCATTGTTAAGGACAGGACTGGTGACATCTCGAGCAGGGGGAACAACCGCACTATATCACTTGCAACAACAATTGGTAAGGTGTTGGACAGTGTGTTTGACTCGGAATTAGATAAGTATGCAAACATACATGACGCCCAGTTCGGGTTCCGACCTGGACTTTCTACTGATAGCGCAATCCTGAGCCTAAAGCACACTGTCCAATACTACACAGATCGCAAGACGCCGGTGTACGCCTGTTTTCTTGACCTCTCCAAGGCCTTTGACCTTGTGTCCTATGAGATACTTTGTAGAAAGTTGGCGGAAAGGCGTGTACCGGCTGAGTTGATGGAAATGTTTAGGTTTTGGTATTCCAACCAAACCAACTTTGTAAAGTGGGCTGATTCTCTGTCGGAAGGATACGTGTTGGAGTGCAGGGTGAGACAGGGGGTTTGACGTCTCCCAAGCTCTTGAACATGTATGTGAATGACATTATAGTGGAGTTGAGCAGCATGCGCGTCGGATGTCGCATAGATGGCGTTAGCATTAATAATATAAGTTACGCTAACGATATGGTGCTGCTCAGCCCAACGGTGGGAGGCCTAAGAGAAATGTTAAGGGTATGTGAGATGTATGCTACTGAGCATGGGCTCACATACAATGTCAAGAAAACAGAGTACATGGTCTTTGAGGCCGCTGGTAAATGTCACAATATTGCAAATAAGGTTACCCTTAATGGCATGAACGTGAAACGAGTCACTAAATTTAAATATAGGAGGAATATTATTACTGGTAACATCAAAGATGATGCTGATATTGAAAGGGAGCGCAGGGCTCTAGCGGTTAGAGGTAATATGTTGGCTCGCAGGTTTTCCCGTTGTACAAAACAAGTTAAGATTACGCTTTTTAAAGCATACTGCCAGAGCGTATACACGGGGAGCCTGTGGATCAAATACACTACATAATATAATAATATATTATGCTGTTGGGGCTGCCTCGTTTTTGTAGTGTATCAAGGATGTTTGCGGCATACCAAACAGATGGTTTTAATGCCATCATACGCAAAAAACCGCGTCCCTTATTAGCAGGGTACGTGCCAGTCACAACAGCATTCTGAGGACCATAGCGGACAGATATACATCGCCGTTGTGGAAATGTCTTGTGCAGAGACTGATCACTGGGCCCTATCCACCCCTCGTCTCGTCTGTCTCGGCACAGGGTTTTTTTTTTAATATAGGATAAGGGTGACAAGCGAGCGCACAGTCCACCTGATGGTAAGTGGTTGCTGTGGCCCATAGACATCCACATCTATCTTCGATTAAGAATCAAAATGCAGATGCGTTGTCACCCGTGAGGACTAAGATGGAATGCCTCGTTTCCAGTAAAAAGGGTCTCCGGTTCTCTACACTCACCGTAAGAAACACAGCAGCGTTAAGCTGCTATTTTACGCTGGTATTCTGTGAGAGCGTGGTCCTTCCCCGGTCGAGCCGACCCATTCGTGCTACAACTATAGTATAGCTGCAGCATGACTCTACCACGTATAAAAGGTATTACTTTATTTCACTAGATTTTAAGCAAACCATTGTTTTACTAACCCTTGTTATTATTTTATTATTATTATTGTATTACTAACCCACATATGGATTTTAATTATCTGAAATAAAGAATTTATTTATTTATTATAATAGCATCATAGTTCTTATAGGTGTCAATACATCTGCATTTTGAATCTTCATCAAGGATAGATGTAGTTATGTATAGGCCACACCTCCACTTACCATCAAGAGATATGTCTGCTAGTCTATCATTCTTACTTCCAATTATAAAAAAAAAAACGTTTAATAATAGGACCGATGATTATAAGAAAATATACTTACCAGATAAGTTGACAGCCTTGGTTGGTTGTGGGGTTGGCAGAGTCTGAGTAGGTATTGGAGGCGGCGCCACTCCGTTTTGTCGCACGGAATTCTGGGATGCTGAACTGTTAGCTCTTTGCGCCAGCATCGACCTTTGCCGTCGCTCTGTAAAAAGAAACTTATTCAAATCACTTACATTTTTTTATAGTATAAGGCAGACAAATGAGCACACAGTTCACCTGATGGTACCACCTGTGGCCCATAGACATCTACATCGATCCTCGATTAAGTATCAAAATACATATACCATGTCACCCCTGAGGACTAAGATGTAATGCCTTGTTTTACTAAAAAGGGTCTCCGGGTCTCCACACTCACCATACGAAACACAGCAGCACTGTGCTGCTATTTTACGCTGGTATCCTGTGAGAGCGTGGTCCTTCCCAGGTCGAACCGACCCATTCGTGTTACAACCATAATTTGGCTGCAGCAGGACTCTACCACGTAATAAACATCATATGATAAAGAGGAAAATTTGTAAATTAAAATCATTAACAATAGTCAGGTTTTCGTATATACATTTCTATGTGTATCATATGGTTTAGTTATTAATCAAAACATATAATGGGCTGCGCAAGCCCATTACAAAATATAAACTCAACTTAATTGACATAATAATTACTATTTTTATCATTTATATTATTATCGTGGTAGAACGATGTTGCAGTTCTGTTATGGTTGTAGCACCAATAGGTTGGCTCGCCCTGGGAAGGACCACGCTCTCACAGAAAACCCGCGTAAAATAGCAGCTCAATGCTACTGTTTCGTATGGTGAGTGTGGAGAAACGGAGATCTCTTTTACTGGATTCTATCTTATTCCTCAGGGGTGACAACGCATCTGCATTCTGATTCTTAATCGAGGATAGATGTAGATGTCTATGGGGCACAGCATCCACTTACGATCAGGTGGGTTGTGTGCTCGCTTGTCACCCTTATTCTATAAAAAAAAAGATAACGATCCATCTAGACGATAATAAGAGGAGTATTGTCGTAGAGGTGGATCGCAGCCGTATAACAAGGCTTCACAGTTCCAAACCCACCATAAAAAAAGAATCGTCTATGAATGACACTAAAGGTAAAGCTTTGAAGTGAATGATTTTAAATTTTGGATGTAGTGACAACCTGCGGGGTTAGCTGAAAAGACATTCTACGATCGTTAACGCTATAGAAAACTATAAAAATGTATGAAATCAACGCTAAGTGACGTGACTATTATGCGACTTAACATTTATAAATGTCATTCACATTATTTTTTATAGTTTTATATACCGATAATAATCGTAAAAGGTCACACGTTGATGGATGCGGGTGGGTCAGAACTGTGCTTTGTGGCATTCCTTCGCGAAGGCCTATGTTCAGCAGTAGACTTGTGAAGGCCTGATGATGATAAAAAGTAGTACATTTGATATATAAAATATTTGAAAATTCTCTTATTGGAATTCATTAACTGAGTAGGTTATATTATAGTGTCACAATGACAGTAGCCTAATGGTTACAGGGAATGGACTGATAAATTAAAAACTAAACTTTTAATGAAAATAAAAGCGGACACAGATATTGCGTAACATATATATAAAATAAAGAACATATAGTTGAATTGAGAACATTTTTCGAACGAGAACGTTAAAAATTAGAGGAAATAGAACTGGGATTCGAATGGAAGTTTCAGCTAAGTTGAGCTTCGATCTTCGATTTCACGGCGTCGTGAATCAGCTACTCTGGTCACACTTGAACATTGGGTCATCAATAAACATTTACTTTTATCAATTTGTAAAACTGTTGTAAAAAATATTTAAAACTAGTTATGAATAAAAAATATAGTAAAACAAAAGGTTACTGAGTCACACTCATATCTGACCTTTATACAGTTTTTATCATCAGACTGATATTTTTATTTATTAATTGTAGCAACTCCTACGTAATTTTCTTTAATGAGTAACTAGTAAATAGCGCTGCCAGATTTTGTTACAGGCAAAGTCGCATTTTGAAACCTTTTAAGTAAAAAATCGGGAATCATTCAATAAAAGCGCGACATGATTAAAAAAAAAACTAAAATACTAAGGACTTTTTTTAATATTGTAATGCAAACAATAATTATGAAACTTAGTGATAAACGGCCAGTTCAGTTCATCGCACCGTCGAGAAATATCCAAAAAAACGGGACTATACGAAGAGCTGTACCTGTCCCATCCGTGACATAATTTCAGCCTAAAATTGCCAAAGGCGAGGCTCGGAGGTAGTGATCTTTTACGGGGCGGTAAGAAGAAAGTAGATAAAATTTTATTTATAAATCATTGCGCTGTGTATACTTATTGAAGCATTTTAGATTCATCTTCATCAGCCTATATCAGTCTATTGCTGAATATAGATATCTCCAACTGTAGGAAGAATTTGCCGTAATCGTCCTTCCTTCATGAATTCGTTACATCCTATATAAAATCTAGTGTTGAACATAAACCTCCCCCATAAATAGTCTGGTAGGAGGGATATTTGCCATAACATATTGCATGCCTTAAGCGCAAAGCGCAAGGTATGTTCTACTATCGCCTAAAAATTAAGATTCCAATGTTTTTATATAATTGCCTTTACTGGTACCGTATTTTAACGTGCTAAGGTTCCTTTAGTTAGGTAGTTAAGGCTCTTTTTTGCCTGGAAGTCGGTTTCGGTACGTGTATTCTCCTTTCAACTGCTGAAACTGCTGTTGTTTTCCGATTTACGCCAGTATAATTAAATGATACAAGGCATTCCCATCTGTATGTTACAAGCTATCACTACAAAAAATATACTGTAAAAACGCGTCTTGTTTGTTCGCTCTCTTACTCTTACTCTGCAGTTATGAATTAAATTAAAAGGAATCAAAACAAAAATATTCGGAGCCCGCTAAGTCGCGCTGTAATATTATGGCGGTATATCATCAACTAAACGTCTTTTTTTTTAAATAACCACCCTGTCTAAAACAAAAAGCCTGTATGTACCTTCTAAAGAAATGATACCGGTAGTTTGTTTAATTAATCATAATTCATACCAAAAGATCACAGGCATACTTGTGAAATCATTCATCCGAAAACCTAGCACTGTAACATGCGTGTTTATGTATGAAATATTTGTTAGTAAACAGATCCGTATTATTATGTCAATGACCACAATCGCGGCGTGCAAATTCGCTTATTAAACAAGGACAGATGAAATCATAGTGTTATAAAATTCACGCTCACAATGCGAGTGCCAAATAACTATGTAAGTGTTCGCAAATTATTACAACTGAATATTAATGAGGCAAAGGAAATAATCTAATAAAGCCTAAAAAAGTTCACTGCTGAACATAGACCTACCACATAGATTACCTCATTGGGGATATATTTGTCATAGTTACCACGACTGGCACGTGGCTTGGCAAACGCAGTATTTTATAATTTTGAGCCTATGTCTAATTTTTAAATTTATTTCCGTTGCCTCTTACGAAACCTACGGGACGATGTAACGTAGTGGATATTCTACACCGCAACTACATCGTTAGTTAATGGAAAGAAAATAATATATTACGAACCTAGTTATAGATTTGTAAAATAAGTTATAAATCTCTAATTAGATAACAATATGCCATTTGTTTAAATACTAAAAAAAATTACCTTTCTCAATAGATACTTATTTACTATATAATGGTTACAAAATAAATGACATAGTGGATGTCGTAAGACGGAAACAAACCAGGAAATGAATAGCGGCGTCTTTCTAATAATATCTAGAAAATAAAAAGAAACACGGCTGCCAACCTGCCTTTCAAATCTATGGGAAGACATGTGCTAAGCAGTGGGCTTTGATAGGCTGTAGTGATGATAATGAAATTACATGACCCTGGTTTCCCCAGCTAACAACACCTTCCATTTCTTCTAGAACATAGATAACCCGATGATTTCCTAACTTATTCACACAATATCATCTCATCTACTTTTACAATCCTCTTTGCATATAGCAGATCTTTATTGGAAACGGTAATCAACAAATGGTAAAATAAAAAATTTTGTACAACCGACTTCAATATAAATAATTTAGGATAATGTGGTCAGACCTTGATCAAAGTTATATGGGACTACATGAGAAGCGCCAGCTTTCAAATGAAAAAAAAAAAGAATCATCGAAATCGGTTCACATAGAAAAAAGTTACGAGGTAACACACGTAAAAACATACAGTTGAATTGAGTACCTCCTCCTTTTTGAAGTCGGTAAAAAAGCTAAGCTAAGTACCCAATGAAATGATTTCTCGAGTTATGTTGTAAATTTTATTATTTTCAAAAGCTCGTTATTAAAATATATATGATGAAATTTTATTTTTCCAACTAGCGAAAGATTAAAATATTTTTAATTTGTCTATATTTTTGACTATAAATTATTCAGTTCGTATTGGTTCAAGCTACTATACATTTCTTCGACCAAGATATAAATCATTCGTAGACGTCGTCAATTCTCTAGCCAACACGTTTTGATAATTAGTTTCTATATTTATTACGTCTAGGGAGTGTTGAGTTAGTGTTTTGCTGAACTACATGTCTTAGTTTCCCAAATCGTTAAATAAATTATGCTTAATCAACTTCTACATAGTTTTTTGTACAGTGTCAAAGGTGAACTAGGCGATAACAATTAAGACAAATTATTTGAATAAAAGTCTTATTACGGATTTTATCGCGTTTAATTTTATCTATTTTTAATACCCGACGTTTCGGGTGCTTTGCAGCACCCATGGTAACGTTTTTTTTTTTATAAGACAGGGTGACAAACGAGCACACAGTCGACCTGAAGGTAAGTGGTTACTGTGGCCCATAGACATCTACATCTATCCACGTTTGCGAATCAAAATGCAGATGCGTTGTCACCCGTGAGGACTAAGATGGAATGCCTCTTTTCCAGTAAAAAGGATCTCCGGTTCTCTACACTCACCATACGAAACACAGCAGTGTTAAACTGCTATTTTACGCTGGTATTCTGTGAGAGTGTGGTCCTTCCCCGGTCGAGCCGACCCATTCGTGCTAAAACTATACTACTAATATAGCTGTAGCATGGCTATACCACGTAGAAAATGATTGTGATTGACGTCCCGTAATAAAATTATTAAACGTAAATTAAAACTAAACTCAAGCATACCACTGCAAAATCCCAAGATATACCAAAACATTCTGCGTAGATCGGACAAATAGATAATTAAAAAACCGAAGGTATTCCGGGTTAACTATAACGTCGGGACAATCACTTGTCTCCCGTGACGAAAATTAAACGCGATAAAATCCGTAAAAATTGTTTTATTTGATATGTAGTGTTCGGGTAAATATATGAAATCATTAAGGAAAATAGTTCTTACAACCGGACAGGAATGAAATGAGAGGAGTGAAAATTTAATAGTAAAATCCAATTTGTTTGTTTGTCGTCATCCATAGAAATTACATACATGTAGATAAATATATACCAGTCCTCTTAACACTCACCTTCCCGTCTCTGCTTCCGTAGTTCGATCTTTTCAATGAGTGTGTCCTTAAGTACTTTAGCTTCATCTTCGTTAGCGAAGTTAAATGCCGTCATGTAATCCTGCAAGAATATTGTATATTGTAAAACATCTAAATAAAAGACAAAATGAATCATGTATATTGGAACGGCAAGTTCTCGGGGATCTACAGCGGTAGTCAACTGATGGACAGATCTTCGACTAATAGGTAGCCAGATGTAAAGGCAGTGTCTGAGTAACACAGCATATTCTACGGGCATGTTGTTTTCCTCCAGTCTTCTAGTAACAATCGAGATGCAGTCCTCAACAGGTAAGCATGTGAACAGAGACTGCACATCAAAACTGACCATAGTTTCATTGTGTGCCAGATGTAGGTCTTTAATATCGCTGAAAAAATGGTAGGATTTTTTTTAGAAATGTGTGTGCATTTGTATGTCCCCTGAACGGTGAGAATATTTTCGCTAAGTGTTAAGCCAATCTGTAAGTTGGTGAATCGATTTGTGTATTTTTGGTAACCCACACAACTTCGGTGGTTTGGCACACGTAGGTGTTATCGATTTTACGTCCAGATTTAATTTTTCGGAGTGTTTCTTTAAATTAAAAATTTTGTACAACCGGCTTCAATTATTTAATTATAAATTATCAAGAATAACTCAAAAACGATTGGTCAAACCTTGATCAAATTTATATGGGAAGGAACAACAACTTTCAAATAAAAAAAGAATCATCGAAATCGGTTCACTCTGAAAAAAGTTATGAGGTAACACACACTACTACCTAGTAAAGAAGGTGCGTAAATAATAAGCTACGTATATGTTATTAAAGCAGAAGTCACACTTCTAGACACACTGCCACTGCCTTGTTCATAGAAAATTACGAGGTGAATTAATACCGTGGATTCTCTTAGGATATCTAGCGCCTTAGTAGAAAAATACCTTAGTTTACAAGACAAGGCTCAGTATAAGACTCGCAAAACCTTAATTGAATCAGATGAAGGAGACAACAAACGATACGTTATGGAGAAAGGTGAAAGAGATAGCACTATAAAATTAGACTAGATAATTAAAAATTTTGTGCAACCGACTTTTTTTATAGGATAGGGTGACAAACGAGCACACAGTCCACCTGATGGTAAGTGGTTGCTGTGGCCCATAGACATCTACATCTATTCTCGTCTGCGAATCAAAATGCAGATGCGTTGTCACCCATGAGGACTAAGATGGAATGCCTCTTTTCCAGTAAAAAGGGTCTCCGGTTCTCTACACTCACCATACGAAACACAGCAGTGTTAAGCTGCTATTTTACGCTGGTATTCTGTGAGAGCGTGTTTCTTCCTTGGTCGAGCCGACCCATTCGTGCTACAACTATACTACTAATATAGCTGCTGCACGGCTCTACCACGTAAAAAACTTCAATATATATTATTGAGGATAACTCAAAAACTTTTATAACAAAATTTTATAGAAAAAAAAAGTATTGGTCACACCTTGATCAAATTTATATGGGACGACATGAGAAGCACCAGCTTTCAAATAAAGATAGAATCATCGAAATCGATTCACGTAGAACAAAGTTATAAGGTAACACACATAAAAAAACATACAGTCGAATGAAGTACCTCCTCCTTTTTGGAGTCGGTAGAAAATCATTACTAACAGAGTGTAACGTTTTTAATTCTTATCTTATCGAAAAATAACAAAGAAGAATAACGGTCCGGAAGGCTTCTTTTAGTCTCTTCTTAAAAAATCTTTACTCTCCACGATTTTAGTAACGTGACAATTTACTAGCATAAATTGTACAACAACAATTATTTGTAGATCATACAAATACTAGTTCCGTGCGGAATTCGAACTCGCGACTCATTGCTAAGCCACAGAGCCATCAAACAAAGGTAACAACTAACACAGCGTAAAAGATTAGCCTTCCATTTTTAATTGAACATGGACAATGGACATATTCAACACAGATTTATCCAATTGTTTCATTGGTGACTAAAAAAACGTTGACCTTTTACAAAAATTAGGCAACAATGATGGACGGCGGCATCCGTAAAGAATATTATAATGCCCGGAAAGTAGGTCGCCATACGAATCATACTACATATGACTAATCTTTTAGGGGAGGCCAGCGTTATAACCAGCTCAAATGGTAGATCAATTCGTCCTAAAAGTCCTCTTTCTCTCTTAAATGTTTTTAGGGTTCCGTGCCAAATCCAGGAAAACTTAACTTATGATATCACCTCGGTATCAATCAGAGGATCTACATTGAGTGTATTACGATGTTAATGACCGAATACTTATTGCAGATATGCTTAGTAGGGTAAGCAGTATAATGATTGACACTTTAAGCGGATTTCTACTTGTAAGTGAAGTGTTATTCTCGTAAATAAACAAATTTGTTATATTCTTTATTGTTTTGTTGGATTTTAGTTTAGATAACCATAAATAAAATAACACATTACGTTTAAAAAAAAATCAAAAAATCAAAGTTAAAAATCTAATTAAACTTTTTTCTAGAGAATGTTACAATCATTGGCACTTTAGCATAGTGAATGGCGCTGTAAATTATATAAAAGTTATACCCAGATCTTTCTAAGCTCCATCTTATTGTTATAACACTAATTTTGAACAAATCTTCTTCAAAAATTCTCCTTAGACCTTCATCTGAAAGCGGTTTCGTTTGTCTACCATGTTTTTTTTCTTTCTTCGTAAACATTTTTGATGTGACTTTTTTAATAAATCCTTTCGTATTTTCTCGATATTTTGTAGAAATAGAACTTTATTTCGGTATTTTAGATTAAACATTTAGAGAGTATTATAATGTCAGAGTTTTTGGCTTCGTTCTTCTTGTTTTGTTTGTCAGTTTGTTTCTATATTTGGCTGACTAATTCAATTCTGCATTTTCCATTTGTGCTCCATTTTTCCATTATTTTTTAGCTCCGGTGCTTCCAAATTTCCATTTGTTAGCACAAAATAACGGTGTTGTTTACCTGCTTTTTGCTTTTTGATACGTATTTGGCAACGGAAAAAACTCTATAAATATTTTTAGGGCTTTCTAAAAGATTTTAGTTTATTTCGACATCCACAATCACCCATTCACCTCCAACAAATTCTAAATTTGCTGCCTAGTTGATGAAAAACATGAGGGTTAGTTTTCTTTCTGATACTCAACAATAATCTCTGCAGGTTGTATACGCTCTGGTACTGATAAACCATTATTAAGTGAAAGGATACAAGGCAAATTTGATAAAGTTATTTCTGATTCAGTCATCGTTATTCTAAAAATATTAGGTAATTCGGCGTAATGGCAAGGAACGGTGATCATCTAAAATGGCTTGCTGTGATTTCGAGGGCACCGGACACTTTGTTTAATCCACTTTGTTTGGACTAAATGGGCACAACCCACATGTCTCAAAACCATTTCATAATGTAGATTTATTTCAAGTTTATTTTATATTATTTTTTATTTTATTTTATTTTATTTTTTATTTCATTTTTTTTCAGTCAGAATGTGTCCAAAAAGGCACGTATGGCAATTCACAATGCTGTGTTAGTACCTACTTTAATGTATGGTAGTGAAAATTGGGTGTGGCAGAAGAAGCACGAGAGTAGAATAAATGCTGTAGAAATGCGGTCATTAAGGAGTATGTTAGGGATGAATCTGAATGACAGAGTGAGAAATTGTTTAATAAGAGAAGAGTGTGGTTTGCAAGATGATGTTGTGACCAGGATTAAGAAAGGAATGCTTCGGTGGTTTGGCCATGTAGAAAGAATGAATGAGGAAAGAGTGACAAAGCAAATTTATGTTGCAGAGGTGTACGGCATAGTCGGGAAGGGTCGCCCTAGGCGAAAGTTTATCGACCAAATTGGCGATATATTAAAAATGGGCCAAATCAAGAGTACCTTTAACCGACGAGCGTGTATGCGTAGGTATATGGATGTGGACGAAGCGAGAGAGGTGTGTCAGGATCGTGCCAAATGGAAGTCCATAATCTCTGCCTACCCCTCTGGGTGACAGGCGTGAGTGTTTATGTTTTATTTATTTCAATACGGTAAAAATCTTGCTAATATAGGCTCGCATCTCTTTTAGTAACCTTTTTGTCAAATTATTTGTCCGTCATTCGAAGACAGGTTTACGCCACATATCTTTATGGTGGGCCGAAATGCAGTGATATCAGCTGATTGCAATAGTCGCGTCGTATTCAGGTTAAGGGCTATAAGTATTATGGCGAGATTTGGGCAAAGTTGCGTCGTACTTAAGATAGTAAATAACCCTCTCTCTAGGCACTAACTTTTGAACGTCTGATCACATTTTCTATAGGGGGAATATAATAGGTTTTACCGTCTACTCCAAAGAACAGTGATGCAAGATTTCGATTAGGCATGATCCACCTCATAGACGTTTTATTCTCCCTCTATAAAACGGTTTAGTATTTATGGGGTATTTATTCAAAAACCTCACATCATTGACATTTTTAGGACATCGAAAACTGTGCCAGTACCAGGTCGGCTTTTCAGCTTGTTAGTTTTTTTTTTTTACTTTACTTATTTAGTGGGAACTCTAAATTCGCGCGTGGAATGTTAAATGTTAGTGCGGCAGTTATTTTTCTAAAACGCCCTCTTTTTACAGACATAATGTTATATCCAGAACCCACCTTACAGAAAAAAATCTACAAATTTTATGTTTTGTAAATAAAAAATTGCCTATTGTAAATTTTAATTGTTAGCACAATAGAAAATCATCAAATAGTTTTTATTACCATGGCGAAATATTCGTATTCGTATTCGCCGAATAGTAGGTTGGATATTCGTATTCGTAAAAGTAGTAGGTATTCGTTGCATCACTAGTTATTTACTATAAAGACTGCATGCTAGATAAGTTGCATGGGCTAAGTCGTTACATATTTATAACAAACAAAAGAAATCTTAATCATACGCGACAAGAATATTTTTACATTGTTCAAGTTGCCACACCAAATTGAATTTATATAATGGTGGAAGAGTGACGTAAGCGTCGCGCTTGTCCCTCGGACGAGGCGACGAAGAAATTAGAAAGCTTACTTTGGCATTACGTTTAACTGCTTTAAAGTCGAGAACAAACAATGCAACGCCAGAATTCATTTATTTAATGTGATTACGTAGTTAGGAACGTGTTACTTTTTATTGTAATAATTCACAGGGAAGAAAGTTGATCAAACAAAAACGACCATTTCATTAATTTTAGTTCATTTATATACTTATTCATATTCCTAACTCATGTTTAAAATGTTTACACAAAACAATTGAAATACATACTTGATTTAAGTATGTTCAAATCATCAAAAATAATGAAAGTACGATAGATCTCCGGGAGCCATGAAATTTATAGTAATGTTAGAAAAGACAATACATACAAAGTTCATTGGTCTGTTATATAAAACCTGAACAATTACCGGCTACAAAACCTGGTCCGAACACGATGGAACGTACAACGCACTCATCTTTAGTCACTTCAAGATAATGTGGCTTTTAATAGACACAGAAAAAAGTGAAATCTAGGAAAAAACAAATAAAACACAAAAATTTAAAAACAATATCTTGTCTAGAATCGAAATGTCTCACATGATTCCGAACAAACTTGCATATTACAAAAAGTAGTTTTTAATTATGTAGCCTAAAGCAGAGATTCCTCTAAGTAGGTTCCGCGGAACTTTTGAGTTCCGTGGAAAAGTCACCAAGATTCCGCGAGATTATTTATTTTTGCTTGTTAAATAATTACAGTGAGGTCAATTAAGTATTATTTAGGAATAGAACAAAATATGTGATGAGAAGAACCGATTACTTTAATTTTAAGACTCTAAAGTTTAATATAGAATCTGATTTGCAAAAGAAGTCCCGCGAAAATATGCAAACAAAAATGTAAAGTATGAACTTTGTCAAATTTCGCGAAGACTGGCCTGGCCTTGTCTAAAGGACCTCTTATATGGCAGAGTTTTTAAACCCGGGATCGCCAATAAACCATGTTTTGTAATAAGACCGATTATTATATTAAATATTAGATATGGAAATATGAGTAGGTGAATTTAATATATACACATTTAAGTGTTATTATTCCAGTTGACCTGTTAAGAATACTTACAAAGTATACTCTAAAAATTCGAGGCGGAAGACACTATCATCGCCACTTTCTCACGGTTACGCAATTCAGTAGCATGTGATAATAATATAGTTTATAATATAATAGAAACCACAATGTGGAGCTAATCTTATTCCAAATTCAAAATGTGGGCGTTGGATGCGATTCGGCTTCGAATTGTAAATTCAAAATTTGTTTTTAATGAAAAGCAAATCAGGTACTCAAGTATTCTTTATGTGATTAAGTATACGACACACACATACACGCGCACGCACCTACGTACGCACGCACGCAGAATCATTCATCTTTGGAATAGAAAATGTAAAAAAAAATATGTTGTGTGACCCATTATTTACCATATCATATCCCAGAAAAGTGATAATGTAGGTAGTAATTTCTTGTATTTGCTAACTTTCCTAAGAAAAGTGTTTATGAACGTGTTTAACTAATGAGCTAATGACACCGTTTTATTAATCGTTAAGCATTTAACTAAATGGTTGGTTGAACTTAGATAGTTAGGACACGCCGTACTTTATTATTACAGCAACGTAATTAATACAGTATTTTGTGACATAATGTGTTAATAAAATTAAGAAAATTAAGCAAATAGCTTTCAATTTAAAATAATTTAAAATTAAAAATTTTGTACAGCCGACTTCAATATAAGTTATTAAGAATAACTCAAAAACTATTGGTCTGACCTTGATCAAATTCATATGGGACCACACGAGAAGTGCCAGCTTTCAAATAAAAAAAATAATCATCGAAATCGATTCACCCAGTAAAAGTTATGAGGTAACACACATAAAAAAACATACAGTCGAATTGAGTACCGTCTCCTTTTTGGAAGTCGGCAGAAAAATAGTTGATATTGAAGATGTTTAGTACCTTCATCGTCGTGAGCAACATTACTACGTTCAATATACCTTAATAAATTGTTTGCATACGTTTGATAACTTGTCTAAAGCTACCAAATTCGTTAACAATTGCAGTTGCGCTCGCATAGATCAAATCATCAAAAGATTGCTCTGGTATGTTACGCGTCATAAACGTGCGCCAACTTAAAGGGCTATGGTTTATAAGATACAACTTACCTGCTCTCGTAAAAGTAAGATAGGTACTAAAATCGTTAGATCTTTTATATTATAGTATAAATTGATCAAAACAAACCTGAAACGAAAACGAACATAGGTATAAGTAGCGGCACGAAAGTCTAGCGGTGACCGTTATTGCGCATAAGTCACGCTGATTGGCTTATTGCGAATAAGTCACGCTGATTGGCTCGTGCGTATCGTTCGCAAGCGCTGATTGGCTCTTCAGTCGCATTCGTGCAATTCAATTCGTGCACGTCCCTTCCCCATATCGTTTAGCGCTAGACTTACGTGCCGCGATTTGTGATGAGAATTAATTATACTGTGACTACTGACTAACGTATTGGATAATCGTTTGATATATGCAGTCATTCGTCATTGTGTTGATATATTAGTAAATGTGTAGCTACTATAATAATAGATTCATCATTATCATTAAAGACTTAAAAGGAGACAGAAAGTTAAAAAATTACTTCCTTTTTATAATTACTTGTAATCTATATTGAATAAAAATACCGGCCAAGTGCGAGTTGGACTCGCGCACCGAGGGTGCCGAATAAATCCGTAGGTATATCAGTACAGACGGACAACAAAGTGATCCTATAAGGGTTCCGTTATTTCCTTTTGAGGTACGGAACCCTAAAAATATCGATTTTATACTGCATACTGTGACTTCTTACGTTTTCATTAGGTCATCATTTTATCTATTACATTTTGAGTTATAAGACCGGTAAAATTGCCATTTTTAGACTGATTCGTCAGATAGTAGAACCAGAATATGTCCGACACGCTGATTCTACCTAAATCATTATAGAAAACTGGCTTGTTCGGAGGAACTGGAAGTCGTTTTATGTGCAAGAAGATTCGTAATGTCTTTCGAACAGCATAATATAGATATGACTCGGAAGATAAATTAAATTGTAATTCTTCAAAGAGGACGTAATTACCTTTCTTAAAGAACAAGATCACCTTACTTCTGCACTACTAGTGCTGACGTGAAAGGCGGAATCAAGCTATAGAAAAACTATACTTAATTAGGTTCTAACTGGTCCGAAATAAATAACAAATTGTTAGCGCTGCACAAGATTCAATGATTTTTTTTATTTTAGTTTACCGATTCGGCCATTGCGAATCGGTAAACGAAATTGCGCGACTTTTTAATGAACGCGGCCTTAACCAATTAAAGGTCGCCCTTAGAAATTCGACAGGAGCAAATAGGACTTCAGACTTAGGAAAGAAACTGAGTGCACGCTCTTCAATCGTGAAGCTTGGCACGTAATGTTTATACAATACACGCTCTTGTTTTGTGCCCGGACTGGCGGTCGGTGTGTGTTTACTGTCCAAGAACAAGACAACTTAATAGGCGTCCATACGAAAAAAGCCTGAGAGCGCTAAAACTCACCACTTTGAAGGCGAAGAGGACCAGGAGACTTGATAGAAACCTTCAAGATCATTACATGGTTCCCAACTTAGGGGTTTTCTCTCTAAATTTGGGGGGTAAATAAGAGGGATGGAATTTTTTTAGGGTCTTTATATTTTTAAAGGTATTTTTAGGAACTTTTATATTTTGTTCACTTTAGCAAATTTTTGTTCAGAAGTTATTGATGATTGCTTCGCAGCTGTCTGTAAACCTTTTGAAAATATCTCAAATTTTGGGCTGTATGTTGTCACGGTTGCAATTTTTCGTTATCTATTGAAATATGTGTGATGATAATCTGATTCACATTTCAACGAAATAGCACAACATTTATAACATTAAATCCATTAACTAAACCATATATTTATTTAATATCCAAATGGATGATTTTTTGAAATATCTAATAATTTATATGTAAAGAATATTGCAAAGCATTGTACTTATTTTTAGGGGATTTCCAACTTAATAAGTTGATTTTAGGGGTTTTTGACTTAACTTTTAGGGGTAAAAATTGTTTGGAGTTGGCTACACATGAGTGGCAATATTTTGTATCGATGTCAACTTGAACATTACGTTAGAGTAAGTACCTAATTAAGGTCCTGGATTTGTATCCGAGTCGGTAACTAAAATTCTTTGAAAAAACTTGTTAGTTTTGGGTCTGATTATGTTGTGATCTATGTATCTCTGATTAAAAATTCTAACATACCTTCGAACTTTCTCCCTATAATCGGAAACGACAAGTTTCAAGAACGAATAGGTAATGTCTCTGTGTTTACGTGCAAACTTGTTGTTATTGCGCCGGACATATTTTAAGCCCTGGCGTAGTCCAATAGATTTAGAAGTTGTTGCCTTGAACCAAATACACCGGAAGAACATATATTATATTCTTCTTGTTACTTGTAAATCAAACTTCAATATAGCGCATATAGTATATATAGATGTAGTAACTGGTTGACACCAGAGTACACTGGTACTCGGGTGTCAACATTAGTAAAACATGCTAGAGGTCGATGAATGCAAGTGACTTAGGACTGTGTTTTGTCGCAGTCCTTGGGGAGGCAAATATTCAGCAGTAAATTTGGAAGGTCCAAAATGACGATGATGGATAAAACAGATGTAACATCGTTATTCTTTGTCTCAATAATTTAATAGTTCGGCGCAATTCCAATAAAACATTCTTTAAAAAATTACTCCCCATAAAAATTCTAAAAGTAAGTATTTAGTTAAGCTTACCTCAGCTTCAAAGGTGTGTAAGTAGGGCCTCGGACTTTTGTACTCAATCTGAAGATAGACTTCATGTTCCCAAATCAAAGACTTTCTGTAGAGGCAGTAAATACGGAAGAAGTAAGATCGCCTGCTGTTGTCTTTGATGAGGCAGAGGACACCAGTGTCTTTTTTCTTCCATTCCGAATGAGCCGGACCCTCTGTTGTGAAGAGTTGCACCACAGCTGTTGCCAGGCTCTAGAGGAAATAAAAAAATTATTTGACTAAGAAATATTTCACATAAAAAAATTCTTCTCTTGCAGCCAGTGGAACAATATTCAATTATAACAGAATTATCGTTTTTTGTGGTTGGATGTAACTGGGGCAGGCCCCATTGTTAATTAACTGAGCTTCTGATAATCACACTGGTAATCAACAAACTACTTATCAGATGAAATCAATGCTGTATCAGCATCACCATCCTGTACCAGTGTACTGATATACATAAGCCTTTTCTATGGATGGGAGTATGGGCGCCGGCAGTAGGGTGCAAGGGGTTCAGTTGCACCCCCTTTCCAGGAAAGAAAATACATAGAAGAACTGAAGTCGTTGCTAGATTGCTGTCTGAGTGGGGCTCAAAAAATTTGTACCATAACACTCTAGAAAGAGTAACACACAAAATCATAAGCATATTGCTTGAAAGTGGAAGTTATGTAACATTCTAGAACTCTGTAAAGTTAGGTATATGTATTGTACCAGAACTTATTAAAAATCTTACCATATTTACGAGTCCAAATAATATTATTATAAATATTGGCATTAATTCTTAGTTGTTTTTGTTCTGACTCATACACAAATGGAAATAAACATCACTCAAATTGTAATGTTTTATTAAACCTAAAGAGGAGGAACTTTGTTTCCATATTAATGTTAGAATTTTTAAAGTTAACATCAAAATAGGGAATATGACGTATTTCTCCATTAAGATTAAGGTTTCTTTTTTTTTGGTGACATCACTAGAAACTATATTTTTGAGTACTTTTTTTTTCAACATTTTTATTAGTTTTCAAGGGTTCCCAGAGGAAAATATTTAGCAAATTTTCTTCTATAAACATGGACTGTATAAAGAAGAAAATTTGCTAAACATGGTGGATGGTGCATGGAGTACCCTTATTATAAATTGGTTTCAGTGGTAACTATTCTATAAAAAAATTTTTTGTTGTATTAAATCAAGTAATTGTTTGTTTATCTTTATAGATCTTTGTACTTTTTTAGAGCATGTTAAGATTTATTTTGAGTGCTTCTGTGGCAACAGCAGAGAAGACACGATTATAATGACATAATATGCAGGTTTATTCACATTCAAGTAAAAATTTTATACCCGCTTTTGGGCTCTACCGCAGTCGATTAAAGGCAATGTAAACTAAGCTTAATGCTATCCAGTGTGTTACGTAAAACACCATGTATATAACACAACATAACACACCCGATTCCCGAATGAACACGCGAGACGATTCTTGTGTTTATAGCCGCAAATTCAAAGAAATTTTAGAAAAATAAGAAAAAAAGATACAAAGTTCTATAAACTAAAATATTGCGTAAATTGAAGATTTATGGATTCCATTTGCAACTATCTTTTTTTGATGTCTTCATTTTAATGCAGTAACCCTTAAAAATATACTAAAATTTAGGGGTAAACAGATGGCCGCGATTTTTTTTCAAAAGGTACATTTTTTTGAGCCCCACCCTTTTAATTTATTCATCACCTTGTCAATAAATTCACGATCCTCTTCTACTCTTTACCTGTGAACACTGAGCATGTCACGCGGCAGCGGGCATTCTCAGAGAAATAACTAACTTGACTACAGAGATTAAGTATGTTTTTGATGAGCGAAATATATTCAATGAAATACCCGCGCGATTTAAATTCGACATTACATTTATCTACATAATATACATGTATATACATGCACGCATATACATGTATATACAACTCACGATACTATTCATACCATCTGTATGATTGGCGATCCAACACTGTGATTTAGAAGAAGTTTTCTTCCTCATACAACTTCCTTGTGGAATCGATTACCACTTGCGATTTTTCTGGACCGATACGACTTAAGGACCTTCAAGAAAAAAACCTACTCCTTTTTAAAAGCCCGGCAATGCATCTGCAATTCCCCTGGTGTTGCAGTTGTTCATGGGCGGCGGTAGTCGCTTACCATCAGATGAGCCACATGCTCGTTTGCCCCCTCTCCTATAAAAAAATAAATAAATTTATAATTCTATTATTTATATAAGTTAAATAGTATAATGTGTAGATGCAGATGCACCTCCCTGAAAGTAATACTAGTAGCGGCCATGGATGGGAGGATATTCCTAATTGTCACACTTGGCAGGTGGATTGTGTAGTGGTACCAGCTATCTCACCCCAGTAATGGTGCTTGTCGCTGTCTATAATTTACATCTGGTATAAACAAGATGGTTACACAATTATCTTTTGGAGGCTATACAATCTTTGTCATTTCCCATATTTGGTTTTTACAACACTAACACAACGCTGTTTCAGGGGTGGTATAAGAATATATCCACTACCTCATACCAGCCTGTGTTGTAAGAAGCGACAAAGTGAAACAAACCAAGGACAGCAGCCTCTTCCTAATGGCAACATGAAAATAAAAAATTGCAGTTGCTAACATGTCTGCCTGCCAAAATTGGCAACTATGACAAATATTCTCCTTATGATAGCGAGGCCTATGTTCAACAGTGCAGCAGGCTATGATAAGCTGTTATGAATGAATGAATCTCTACATAATATAAAACAAAGTCACTTCCCACCGTCTGTACGCTTAAATCTATTAAACTATGCAACAGATTTTGATGTGGTTTTCATCAATAGACAGACTGACTGAAACGGAAGGTTTATATGTATAATAGATGCATATTATATATTATATAATTCTTCTGTCTGTGTGTATGTGACTGAACACTTCCTAAATGATTGGACCTATTTGGATGAAATGTTTAGATTCACAATTGACTTGGTAGGTGGTATTGTTGTCAAGATCCAGAAATCAACCGTGCGAATCCTGGGCGGATCGCTAGTGATTAATTAATGTTTCTATAAAAAGCCAGCATTGCTCAAAATGTCTGCAGTATCTTTTGCTAACTGAAATCACATTGTCTTTACAAAATTAGGTGCGTAATAAAAAGTAAAAGCCAACTTCTAAGAACTACAGAGAATAAAAGTGTTGACCGGATGATTTCTGCATTTAGTGATGAAGCCCCATCCAAAACCACAATTTATTGCTGGTTTGCTGAATTTCAACATGGACGTGTCAAGCTCAGTGATGATCCCCGTCAAGGTCGTCCAAAATCTGCAGTCACCCAAGAAAATGTTGATGCTGTGCGTAAGCTGATTGAGGAAGATCGACATGTAACATACCGCGAAATTCAGGCAACTTTAGACATTGGCATGAGTCAAATACAAATAATCTTGCATTAACAATTAGGTGTAAAAAAGTTGTTTTCCCGATGGATACCGCATTCGCTCTGTGAAGAGCAAAAAGCGGCTCGCGTTACTTGGTGCGTCAGAACTCTCGAAAGATTCCACGCAGTATCCTCAAATGCTGTATACAACATCGTATCAGGTGACGAATCCTGGATATACGCGTACGAACCCGAAACAAATAAACCAGTCATGAGTTTGGGTGTTCGAAAATGAGTTAAAGCCAAGGAAAATTGTTCGTTCACGGAGTGTTGCAAAAAAAATGGTGGCCACGTTTGTCTTCAAAACCGGCCATGTTACGACTATTCCTCTTGAGGGACAAAGAACGGTTAATGCAGAATGGTATGCTAGCATTTGTTTGCTACAGGTCGTTTCTGAACTCCGTAAAGAGAACTGCAACCGCCGCATCATCCTCCATCATGGCAATGCGAGTTCTCACACCGCACACAGAACAAAAGAGTTTTTAGAGCAAGAAAACATAGAATTATTAGACCATCCGTCGTACAGCCCCGACCTAAGCCCTAATGATTTCTATACTTTCCCTAAAATAAAGAATAAATTGCGTGGACAGAGATTTTCATCACCTGAAGAAGCTGTGGACGCCTACAAAATGGCCATTTTGGAGACCCCAACTTCCGAATGGAATGGTTGCTTCAATGATTGGTTCCATCGTATGGAAAAATGTGTCAAATTTCGCGGAGAATACTTCGAAAAGCAATAAATACATTTTTAAATAGTAATGTTGTGTCACTTCCTTGATTCCCGAAATTTTCAGTGCCGCCCTCATAACATTCCCTATGTTGCAACTTTCTCTTATCCTATCAGTTTACACATTTATATAACATTAACATGGCCAACACTATCTTACCATCTTTTATAACTTAAAAGCAAAATGTTGTCATACTAGATAGATAAAGTGGTTCCACAACAGGAATTTATTATCACTTTCACTGCATACAGCTCTCTGTGTAAATTACTATAATTTTTTTTCTTCATTTCTGTTTCTATTTCACTTTTTACAATTTAACTCATGTAATGTTTGTCAAAGTTTTTGTATTTGTACCTAAGGTTTGTGTAACATCCTGTCAAACTTATGCCGGTAGTTGTTGGGAGCACTAAGCTCTAAGTTGTTGACGAGTATGTTTGCTTGGGACAAATAGTCCGACTAGGTAAGGCCAACTTCAACCAAGAGGTCAATTGACAGATTCAATTTAGCTAGGGTGTAGGGCAGCTCCCACTAGATAGAGTGACAACATTGTAAGACATGCATGAAGTCGATGGATGCAGGTGGTTCAGGACCATGCTTTGTGGCATTCTAGCCAAGGTAGATAGTCTTGGTCCTTGGAACTTAGTTGAGAAGTCGGCGTGGCCTCTAAGCTAATAGGTTTGGAGAACCGTGCTTTATTTTTTTTATACTACAATTATGAAATCATCAATAGTTTATAAAATAAAATGTACGCAAATCACATGTGGTAGAACCGAAACCTTATTTATTTTTATTAATAATTATTTCATTTTTTATTATGTATTTATTTATTGAGACCGAGATAATAGGAAACACTATATACCGTATTTTATCTCAGTCACTCGAGGACTAAATCCTATAGATGTATATATTTGTCTTTTTTTAGTGTTAATTTTTTCTTTTTATCGAGTTACAAATCAATAATTCTAAAGAAGTTTTCACTTTAAAAATAAATTAAACATTTTTATTTGTAAATATTTATATATTTAATAACTACAAAGACATACATTTAACACTTATTGGTGGTATGAGGTATTTATAATTTGATAATAATCACATAGTTAAGGAGTTTATCTTAACACTTGCAGAGGACATTTCATAATAATCATTTAATACCTGACACTGATAATTAGATAATGTAATTGGAATTCATATAATATGGTACATGTATGTATAAGGCAAATTAGATTATTTTCATAAATTTTAATTCAATGTAAAGTAAATATCATTTCAAGGATCTTAATTAATGTTTCTAAGTTAATATAGTAATAAACCTAATTTCATTCACCATTTATTTATTACAGCCAATCTATAGTCCACTGCTTAACAATGAACACAGGCCTCCCCATAGATTGCCTAATAACTGTGGTGACCATCCCATTTGTCAAGTGTGGCAAAATCTATCTTTAAATATAACAATATATTTTACTCCAACATGTTATATTAAAATAAGCTGGTAGTATAATTGTTTGTTGTCCTAAATAAGGAGAAAAAGAAACGCGAATGAATGCTAAAATGTATTTTAACCTTCAGTATTTCCAGATAACTATTTATTTAGTAAAGAAGTTGTATAAATTCTTACATGATAAAAATTAAACAAAACTCAAGTGCTTTTTTTTGGGAAGATAAAATTTTAAAATATGGAAAGAGCTTTATCAATGATAATCCGCTGATACTGGTAAAGATAATATGTAATCTAAAACCCAGATCACGAGGAAGGACGCGATGCGTGTGTAAATGTTAACCAACCTGACATTTAGGTCCAATGAGACTGAACACCTGTTCGTTTTCATCCCGAGATAACAGGATGCTCGGCCTGTGTTCTCCCCTCGGCATCCTTCCTCTTGACTTTAAACACACTCATAAAAACACTATAAGTAGTCACAGTGAAGAGGATGAGTCTTAGCGGTCTCCCAACATTTTATTGTAATGACACTGTTTATTTGGCACTCGCAATTAACTTTATATAACAAAGAGAGCATTTCTCACGACGGAGAAACATGCATTTTACGATTAAACGAAGAAAACTTAAAAATTCTTGTTTTACTTTCTCTACATCCGTACGTGAAACATCAATCACATTCAATCATCAAACAAGTGTTGCCAGAACCAGAACAAGAATTGTATATATAAATGTCACTTGTCAAAAATCCTAATCTGTTAACCAAAGAGTATATAATACTCTTTGGTTAACAGAGTACACTACGTTTCATTTACCCAAACGTAAGCTGACTTTAAAAAAAAGATTATTTATTATAGAGAATTTTCGATGTTCACGTGTGATAAAATTTAAGGAAAAAGCATCATAAATCGCTCCATATACTACAGTGCCTTGATATCGGTGAGCCCGTAACGACAACGATATTTCGATATTACGTCTGCAAATGAAAAAGCGCTCTAGGCAAGATTATGTTAATAAATGTAGTGTCGTAGTTTTGGCGAGAACTTGACCGCTGACGCATTGCTGCTTCTGTATTAATGTTTCAAATAGACTATTATATATAAAAGTTGTGCAATTTTGTTGAATTTTGTGTAATGTCTACGTATGTGAACTACAAGAACAAGAACAAGTTCTCCGATGGTTATGTGAACCTCAAGTTATTGTGACTGCTTAGGTGCCTTGAGATACTATCGTTATCGACTGACTGCTGGCTCAAGCTGCCATCCAAATATCTTTATTGTACTATTTTTATTCATTCTACTGTTGAATGTTGTTGTTAAATGACAAATAAGTTGTTATAGCTATATTAGTATGTTAGTATTAACAAACAAAAGTTTTATGTTATTGGTATTAATGAATTCCTTAGACCATTCAACTGGATAGGACGAAGGATGTCAGGAGGGTGAGGATCATAGAGTGTACAAAATAATAATTTAGGGTGGTTACAAAAATGTAGTCGGTGGTTCCCACATCTTAACCGTATGAGTCCAGTCCATTATTTAAGAAAAAAAAATCGTTATGTTAGTTGTCAGTTCTCCTCTAACCAAAGAGTGTATAATCACGACGTTTTTCAACCAACCTTGCCAAGATAATTATCACCTATTGCTTTAGTTAATATTGACGCCTCCATGGAGCAGTTGCAAAGAGTTGCAGCGTTTGGGGCTGCGGGCTTGAATGCTGCACGGAACAAGTATTTGTATGGCCTACAAATAATTGGTCCGGGTCCGGATATTTGTCCTTGTGCAATTTATGTTTGTAAATTCTAATGTGGGGATAAAGCTTTTTATAAAAATAAATAAGTAAAATTCTGAAGTTCTGAGCCTATAACACACCACAGAACTTTATCTTGCTCTTGGTTTTTAATTCTTGTATCGAATTTGATGTTTCATGATTTTATGAAAAAACATAGTAAATAAGAAGTGATACCTTTACTTAAATTTGGTAGCAAATTGGACCCCGCTAATTTTAGACCTATTTATGTACTGATTAAAAATACTTAAGATCAAAAATGTTAAGTTTATTCAATGTATTTAAATAAATTTCTTCTTACGGTCAGTTCACACTGAGATATGACGCTTCGCGACGTGCACTTTTTAAGATAGTGTTATAAAATATAAGTTTATTTACTACACAAAAAGATACACATTTTATTGAGATATTTCTATAATGCCCGTGGCTTCACGCTACACCGCGCTACGCCTTGAGATGAATCGTGGTGTAGCACGGTGCATCACGACGCAGCGATACTTCGTCGGTAAGCGCAGTGTGCAAGAGCGGTGCGCTGCGAGCGGCTTCACGATGCGCCTCGCCAAGTCGCGATGCGTCTCGCAGTGGCGGGCTGCGCGGTGCGAAACCACTGGCCTCTTCATGCATGGTCGCGTCGCGTCGCTGCACGGTGTGAACTGACCCTTAAAAAGCAGTTTTGTTTTGTAAGGGACTGCTCGACAGCTGACGCAAATGTGGAGTTATTTATACATAATATTCTTTATGCATGGAAGACTTCAGAAAATGCTTTGTGACATTTCTAAGGCCTTCGACTGCGTTTATTGTTCAAAGAAATTAATCCAGATGAATTGTGTGAAGAACATAGTTCTTAAACTTTTATCTTATATTTAAGTAATAGTATACAAACAATTATTTTTATCAATTGCAGTAGATTTTTCCGGTAGTTGGTATCTATTGGTGTTATTCAGGGCTCCATTTTTGGCCCCATTCTGCGCTCTTAATAGTTCATATTTAGAACTTATATTATTTGTTAGGGAATAACCATGATAATTATTTTTTCTGGATTATATTTCGTAGATTTTCAGACATAAATTGTAAATGTTAAAATATAATAAAGTGAGTAATGTAGTATAAAGACTACTTCACTGGCTTAATGTAAAATTGTTTGTTTATTTGTAAGAAGGAGAAAAGTCACCTTAATGTTAAAAAGTAAAGTTAAAAGTATGAGGACGGCTTACAAAAGTGAACTGATAACGAATAATATTATTTATAGGGAACGTTTAGTCATAGATATTGTCTCTACAACCGTTACCGTTACCGTTACAACCTATTAAAGTGCACTGCTGAACATATTTACATATAATGCATCTACTACACTGCTTCTTATTAAATATAACAAGCCGAAACATTAAAAAAAATTAAAATTTTCAGCTCCTCTCTTAAGTTCTCTTAACAGTCAAAGGAAACCCTTTCTCTACAATATCCTGTGCACCCCTCTACATTTAATTATTTATAAATCTTTTCGTGTTCTTGGAGTAAGACTTTGTAAATCTTTACCTTTGTAGTTTAAACGTGTTCAATCCTTACATTTGCTCAAGAAACAGGGCTTAGTAATATATATATATATTGCCTTTTCCGTGTCTGCGTTGTTTTTAAAATCTGGCAATATCGTAGCCTACGACGGTGTTGCCAAATATTAAAATTTGCTGAATTTCAAGCATTGTTCTAAAAATGTGTATCTTACAAACATTTCAAAAATAAAAAATTATGGTGTTTTGGTAATATTATTGCGGTATCTAGTGACCATTTCGTGTCAGACAAGATGTTTTTTACTTATTATAACTGCGAGGACTACGAATACATACTTATACAAAATAAGAAAACAAAAATGAAATATACTCTCAGGCTATAGTGCAGACGAGATGTCTGTACGACGTCGAAACGCGCGCCGACCGCAACCCAACAACAATAACAACATGATAATTCGTCCGTCAGACGTAGCTTCCTGTATAGGACAGTTACTATACTTTTTGGACGTAGATTTCTTGGTCCACTTGTTACAACTAAGTTCAGTATCTTCCCAATATATTTTAATCAATGGTTTCAAAAGTGTTTTGTAGTTTTATGATTCCTCACAGTTGAAAAGAGGAAGAAGTGGCTACAGTTTACGCGGTAGGTAACTAATACTCGTATTTCGCTTACAATAGTCATCTATTGAGAAGTGAATAGACAAAATCAAATTCATCAAATTTGCAGGAATAATCGTCATTATATTTGTTGTTGATAAAAACACTTTCAATACTATTACCATTTATAACATCCTGGCCAGAAGGGTAAGATCTAGAGAAAGACAAATATTGTGCAAGTTTCCACAGGGTTCATTCATACTATAGTGAACTGTCGGTTACGACCATTCATTTATATGTTACACTAGATAAGTAATTGCTGCGCTAAAGCGTTGCCACTTCACATATGGCTACAGCCATATGCCCAGCTAACGTCGGTTCAGTGTTCTATGTGACGCCGACCGAGTTGAGCCGAACGATTCACGACGAAAAAGGGTAAATGCGTAGTGAAAGAATGTGATTCAAGGTCACAAAAACATAATTAATCAAGCGGAATCACTTTCCACGTGTAAGTTTTAGTTTATGTTTTCATATTAACGTAAAAAAAATAAAATAAATAAAATATCGAATATTACAACTTAGGTTCAATGTTGCCACTTTTCTACCTTTGCAATTTTCCCACATTATACGGGTACCTAAAGATGCAGCACACCGTTAGAAGTGGGTGGAAATAATACGATTGCTGAGAAAGGAGACTCACTGGGTGCCTTTGAAATCTACTCTCATTTGTTCTATGCACTTCGAGGATAAAGACAAACTAGGGCCAAAAAGCGATGGCGACCGTGTTTATTTAAGCGTATTAGTACTACAGATTAACACCATTTAGTATTATCTTAAAAATTTATTTATAACTACAGTTTTTGTAGCTAATGTCATGAGAACAAATTTAGGAGACTAAAGACTTGCCGATGCTTTCACAATTGCTCATATTTAAAACTTAGATCTTCTTGATTAAGAAATGCAAATTGATTTTTTTACTTGATTTATTCTTTTATTTGATTGTACTTTTAGTAAGTACAATAAAAGATACTTCGAAAAAAATATATCTTTCATTTCATTAGTTATATTTCTATTCATCGGATAAGCAAAGATACATATTTAAAATAAAAATAAATAACTGCAGATTAAAAAAAAGCTCCTTTTTATTGCTTATTTTGGGTAAAATTTCATATAGTAGGCAATACAATAGTTTTAGTAATTTACGTAAAATTATGCGGTGTGGTGGGTGGTGGCAGTGAAAAAGAATCCATCGTAACTAAAAATATCCAGAGTTAACTTTCACTTTCAGAACAACTTTCAGAAGCCATTAGTTCTTTTCTGGCAATTCCCGTATCCGCCTCTTATCACACCTACAGAACGATTAAATTTATTATGTTAACAACATCTATTTTAATTTAATCTATTTTTAATTTAAAAAAAATCAAAATATAAATAAAACATCCACCTGTTTATTTTATTTATATATTTGTATCAAACCAAATACAAAACCATTTACAATTTATGTTAGCTGCAAATTGAGAATATTTAGTCTTGAAAATGTATAT